CAGTACAGCTTTTCCCACTCTTTTGTTGACTATGAGGGCTACTCCATTTCTTCTATGGGATTCTTGCCCACAATTATAGATACGATAATCATCTGAATTGAATTTGCCCATTCCCGTCCATTTGAGTTCACTGAAGCCCAGGATGTCAGTGTTTATTCTTGCCATTTCCTGTTTGACCACATCCAGCTTCCCAAGGTTCATAGATCTTACATTCCAGGTTCTTATGCAGTATTTTTATTTGCAGCATTGGACTTTCCTTTCACTTCCAGGTGAGTCCGCAGCTGAGCATACTTTCGGCTTTGGCCCAACTACTTCATTAGCTCTGGATCTACTTGTACGAGGTACTTGTCATCCGCTCTTCCTCAATAGCATCTTGGATGCCTTCCGACCTGAGGGGCTCATCTTCCAGCATCATATATTTTAGCCTTTTGTTTCTTTTCATTGAGTTTTCTTGGCAAAGATACTGAAGTGATTTGCCAGTTCCTGCTTCAGGTGAATCGCGTTTAGTCCGAACTCTCCACTATGATCTGTCTGTCCTGGGTGTCCCTGCACAGCACAGCCCATAGCTTCTCTGAATTAAGCCGCTTTGCCACAACAAGGCAGCAATCCATGAAGGGGATTATAGTCATTATGAATAGCTAAATATGTGCTAACTCTGGATGTGGAGATTATATAGTGTCCGTATTCACTGAGTTGGGATGATTGTTGCTGTTCAGGTACTTCAATTAGTTTGTTATATAACACCCAAAGTGGTCTTGGATTAAAAGAGGAAGGTGCAGCATCTCTTGTCTTTTTAAGATGATTGCCTAGCAATGGAGAACAGTGTTGGCAAGATGCTGTATGTTTTGTTTAAAACAAATGGAGCCAAACAGCAGGCTCTGCTCACTTGTTTTACACAGGGGGCTCCTTTAATAAATCGCAATGGAGATGGAATAGGGGTTTCAACATTATGAGTATCCGAACCAGCATCTATTTGTACAACAAAATACAAAAGTTGGGGAAATCAGTGCAACTGTTTCTAATATATTTTACAGCTTCTTTTATGTTCTATACAATCATAAATCAGTGCAGTAAGGATTGATTTCCTCTGAACCATTTGTCAGTTATTTGTTAGATCTATGCACCTCTTCTAAATGTAATGTACACTTCAGTGTATGTATAAATTGAAGTGCATATAAAAAGCAAAGGTCACAAACAACTGAATACAGCATATTGATCATAAGGCTGGTTCGAGTACATGCATCAGTTAAAAAAAATTCAGCTGGCTGACCAGAAATCCTGCAGTTCAAAGACTAGCTGTTGTTGAAATAACCTGCATGCAAAGTATTTGCTGTGTTGTCTTTTATTTGTCTTTACAAAACCTTGTAAACCGCATTCTGAAATGTATGTAACTTGATTCTGGTAAAGTATATAACTTTTCTGCTTTAGAATGAAGTCACCCTGCTGAGAAATGAAGTGGCGCAGCTGAAACAGCTTCTTCTGGCTCATAAAGATTGCCCTGTAACAGCCATGCAGAAGAAATCTGGCTATCATAGTGAGTAATGTTCCATTACCTATAGCCGTAGGCTATGCCAGTAAAATACTGCTAAAGCAAACAGGAGGAAATATTAGAATTGAGAAGTAATGTTCAAATACTTCAAATATTTAAACGTAACAATTTCTGCAAGGTTACTGCAATGTAAACGCAAAGGCATATTGAAGCTTCTTAGATTCATAGGTTTTTAAAATGCTATACACTGTTGTAATGCAGCCTCATGTTTATAATCCTGATGCATCCTAATAGTGAAGGTTTGTAAGCTATTTGAATATTGATACTGTTTTTTAATAAAAAGAGAAATATGTCAAAACTGCTTATGTCACACATGAAAAGTCATAATTATCTGATGTACTCTTTGTGTTGTCGTTTTCTGTAGAAAGAATTTTATTTTATTTTTTGGTGTCAAGAAATCTGTTGGCAGGGGGAAATAAACCACCTTTATGACTTTAGCAATGGAAATATAAAAGTAGAATCATAAAAATGTTACAAATCAAGTTTTTAGCTTTCATTTTCGGCATTTTAAAGGTTAATTTTTTCTCTTTTGTTGTTTTGTTTTGTTTGGGGGTATAATACAGAGCCTGAGAAGCAGCTGCTGCTGTAGAATAAATGGCCAATTTTGTCCATTGTACACAAATTTGTAACAAATAACCGAGCTGGGAATGCATTAGGCAACATTCATAATATATAACCCACAGCTTTCGTTTTTATGATTTAGTGATATTTCAGGATATTTGTAAATGTGAAGATTGTTTCTGCCATATGTAGCCACTTCATTTTAATTTGCCAGTGTCAGTAATTTAGGAGAATAAAAGAACATTTTGTATTGCATGCGAACAGTTCCTCAGGTGCTTGCGATAAAACTTAATGGCCACCATCTTTACTTGTAGTCATTGTAAGCAGTTTCATCAGAATGGGCAATATTTTTTAATTTAAAAGATTCAGGAGATTTAGCAACTCTCTGTGGCTGTATATATTTAGAGCACTGATTTTGTCAGTTTTGAGCTTATAAATCTCAGTCCTTTTGATCTCCAGTCATTTTGACAGGATGGGAAGTGGCATCTTGGAGCAAATTGAAACCATGTAGGAATATGTTTTGAATTTATATTAACAATGATTGTTGCAGGGATGAGGCCATTATGGCTCCCATCTGACAAAGCAACATTAGTTTCTATGGAAGCTGGAGTAGGGCAACATTATGCATGCATAGTTTGCAGAATGTGCTTAGGTGTCTTGAATATTATCAAAAGCAACTGTCTTCGTGGTGTTCCATTTAACTACTTCAAAGTGTAAAGCACTGGCACACAGACAGAGCAACAATACGGTACTGCAGAATCAGTAATGTTTGTACAAACAGATTTTGTTCCTTATAATAAACAAATAAATTTAAATGTTTCTACTCATGGCAGATAGTTATCAGATTATGGTGTAGATGAGCTGCTACACTTAATTGCTTATTACAAATGTGCGATGAAAGATGCATGGAGTTGACTTATTTGTATCAGATTTATAGTCCCTGTAGCCTAGCATTGAGTGGCCTTAGCAAGGCAGCCCAATTTTATTTAAAAAATGTTAAAGATAAGGGATGCAGCCCACTGAAGCTTTGGAGAAAGCAGAGTATCAGAAGGAAGTGGTAGCTCTGCTAAACACAGCTGCTGCTGCTGCTCCTTCTGTATACAGTGCCTGGCCAGTGTACACATGCCTCTGGGAAACCATCTTGGCTGTTTAGAATATTCAAAAGAAATTAGGTTCACTGGATAGCTTTGCCTCATGGGGGTGGGTTTCAATTAAAACAATTTCCCAAATAATCAGAGATTGTAAATCAATCTCATGCGCTGGTAGGTGGTCAGTCACAATTATGTGCTACCCTCTTAACTTTGTGTAAAAAAATGTGGGCAGGATAGCTTCTCAGTAGCAACCCTCTGTGCATGGAGACATTGGATATAATTACTAGCTTCACTGCCTTCTCTTCACGTTCATGTCTAAATCATTCACAATTCCACTCACTAGAAAAAAGTCAAGCAGTGGAAACACTGGCATATGGAAGGTGTGTTCAAAACCCAAGACCTCTTTAACAAAAGGGCCCTAACTGCTTGTGAATTCTTCAGGGAAAACCTCCAAACTCCTCATCTTAGCTGGTTAGAAGAGGTAGATATATAGGATATATGCTACCGTGTTTCCCCGAAAATAAGACAGGGTCTTATATTAAATTTTGCTCCAAAAATGTATTAGGGCTTATTTTCAGGGGATGTTTTATTTTTTTCATGTACTTTGTACAACAACCTACATTTATTCAAATACAGTCATGTCATCTTCTGGTTGCTGCACAATGGTGGAGGGTGGGGTTTCTTTTAACTGGGTCTTATTTTGTAGGTAGGGCTTATATTACGAGCATCGTGAAAAATCATACTAGGGCTTATTTTCAGGTTAGATCTTATTTTGGGGGAAACAAGGTAAGTATATATAACATGCTGAAAGGCCTCCAAAATCCATAATTAAGTTTAAAGAACTTTGTCTTCCCTCCTTCCCAACAGTTTTAAGATTCACGCTTCTTAAATCTGTACCTGGCTTCCTATATGGGAAGGCAATAGAGTGAAAAATAGCATGGCTGGTTGAAATTAACACAGTTGCCATGACAAAATGAAGTGTCCACAAAAGCTCACAAGTGAGGAAGAACTACAGGAATTTTCCAGACAAATAGACCATTTGCCTTCCCGCCAGCTTGCACATGCTTGCACACATGTTTGCATATGTGGAGAGCATGTGTATTTTTGTCAGGGAGAATATGAGTGTAAGGAAACTGAGGGAGTGGGGAGAAGGAGAAAGAGAAAAGAGAGGGGAAGAGGAGGGCAGTTTGCCCCACCAAAGAATAACTGACTGACTCTAGAGAGGGTGGTGAAAAGCACATGATAAACAATGATAAACGAAACAGTGTTAAGTGAAATATTACTGTGTAACACAGTGGTTCCAGCCTTGGATTAATTCAGATTTTCTTGGACTGTAACTCCCAGAAGCCTTCACCACCACTGTGCTGACCAGGGTTTCTGGGAGTTACAATCCAAGAACACCTGAGTTACCCAAGGTTGGGAACGACTGGTATAATGCAATGCTGCTCCAAAAGGATTTGACATGATGGTGGTGGTAGCTCATTTGAGATAGCAAAGTGCTGCTGATCTTTGTAGGATCTGAATATAAGGGCTTTGGAGAACTGCATGTTGGCCACGGTCCTCTTTGAAGAACTCACACATAAACTGAAAATGGTAAAAGGACTGGAAACAAGAGACAATTTTTTGCTTTTGGCTAAAAAAACTTGGTAATGTAGGAGCCTGAAAGTAGTAAGTGTTTGATTCATAACTGTGCGGAATTTGCCCATTATCAGAAGAACAAGGTGAAAGATATTTAAAATTCTGTTATCTTAATCATGGCTACCTAATAAAGTTAATCAGAAGTCTCTCCTTAATTAAAACTTGAATGGATATTTATTTGTTCCCAGCAGTGATCTGAGGCGAAAAGTTATCCACTCTTAGTATTTTTGCACTGAATGTCTCAGACTCCGTTTCACATAACCTATAGCTGACAGTGTGTGTGACTCCAGTAGGATGCAGTCATACCTAAATAAGCTGCACTGCACATGTCTTAGATGTCTGTTCCTTAGGAGCACACCGGCTCTTTGGGCATGTGCCAAAATTATAGTGCAGCATTTTCCATGCCTACAGGTTCTTCCCATCTTGACAGTCTAAATAACATAAAGGATGTGTAATCTATAGAGTTGTCAGGTCTTAAAATGGTTAGATGTATCTCAGGAAAACTAATTTTCTAGTTTTTGCATTCAAATATAAAATTTAAGCCATGCTAAGCATGTTTTTTCTCCTCCATAACTGAATATTATAGTCTAGCTACTTTGGGCTGTTGGCAAAACCTTTCAAATGTTTATACAGCATGTAAAATTTATATGGCCTACTTGTTTTCTTTACTAAATTAAGTCAAGTATGTTAAATCATATCCCCATCAATTTAGAGCAATGAAAAATCAAAGCCTGGTTGTTCAGAACCAGGGATATGCTTTGGATTACTCATATCCTATGCTTTGGATTACTCATATCCGCTATCATGATTGTTCTATTAGTTCCTCTTGAGCTTGAATACAAGTGTTGTTTTATGATTTGTTTGGAAGTAACAAGTCAAGCAATATATTAGCCCATTATTTGATACATTGCAAATCTTAATATATTTAGTTAATTTCTGTTTTATAATGCCATAGTGCAAAGAATATAGTGCACACCAAAATATAGTTAGGCCCGGAAATAATTGGACACTGACACAAGTTTTGTTAACTAGGCTGTTTACCAAAATAAATTTAAGTTACAGGTGAATAATGAATATGGGTTTAAAGTGCAGTCTCTCCACATTAATTTGAGGGTATTCATATCCAAATTGGAGGAAGGGTTTAGGTAAGTGCAGCTCTTTAATACGTAGCTCCCTCTTTTCTCCAGTCACATGCTTAAAGTGAGCCAGTAACTACCCCCAAACTGTAATTGGAAGGATGTTTTGCTGTAGTTCCGGGCTGTTTGCATACGTTTCGCTTACAAGGAAATGAAAATGCGTTTCTTTTTCAGCTACAGACAAAGACGATAGTTCTGAAGACATCTCTGTGCCAAGTAGTCCCCACGCGGAAGCAATCCAGCATAGTTCGGTCAGCACTTCCAACGGAGTAAGCTCCACCTCCAAGGCAGAAGCCGTGGCTACGTCGGTCCTCTCCCAGATGGCAGACCAGAGTACAGAGCCGGTGCTTTCGCAGATCGTGATGGCTCCTCCGTCCCAGCCTTCAGGCAGTTGATTAGAAATGTGCATTGTTTTTAGATATTCCTTAGCAACTTCAAAGGGAAACCAAGGAAAAACAGCCTTCATCAAAAAAGAAATGTGTAGCTTAAAATTATTCATCCGTAAAATTCAAAGTTGAATTGGGCTTTGAAAGTTGGCAAACAGGAATTGCACAACAGGTTGTAGTCTTGTGATAGGCACCCAGGTTTGTTTTTCTTTCCTAATTAAGATTGCCTGTTATTTTCAGTGCTCGTCATGTGAACTGTTGATACAGTTGAAATGTACTTTTTTTTTCGTTTTGGTGGTATTCCAAGAAATATTCAAATCATTTGCGTAATGGTCACCCCCAAAACTGTGACCGTCATCTTGTAATATTTTATACCAAAGTTCTGCATAGATTCCTATTGACTTTGTGAAGTCTACGAGATCGCACTGGGCAAGAGAAAAAAAGACAGGAATGGTAAATTTGCTTTTAGTCTTTTTGCCTTTATATTGTTTTGCACATTCTGAGAGGAAAAAAAAACATTGGGAGAATATGTTTGATTATATTATTGTAGCGTTTTCTTTGGCTTTTTAAGTGTTTGAGGGTTTAGAAGAAATAATTTTGTTTAACAGGGCCAGTACAGTATGCGGTATACAGTACTTCTTATGCACATATGTAATCTTGATCAGGGTCACTATTAGCTAGGATTTTCTTTAAAAAAGTGATGTCAGCTTTGCTAGCACTTCCATTTTTAAAATCAGGAGCTTCATTTTTTAAAAAAAATTGCAAAAGGATGTGTGCAGCTAAAGTAACAAAGAATAGCAGGTAGAGACAAAATCTTACTGAAGTAATGAAGAACAGCAGACAAGGGTTATGAAAGATGGAATACTTTCTCAAAGCTAACTTGGTATTTTGTCATTTCTTGAGTCTTAAAGTGAGGAGCTCATTCATACTCCAGTATGGTATGAATGCCAGGAAAGTTTAAAATTCCCTCATCAAACAACTCGTTTATTTTATTTTTTTTTGTTATTGTCTTGTATTTGCAAGGTAACTTGTACTTTATTCTTGTGTAAGCACTGTTATCTTTTAGTAGCAAAACTTTTGATACCTTTCTTGGGTGGGGAGGGGAGTCAAACATCTACCGTACCATGGAAACAGTGTAATTATAATGTGGAGTGTGTGTGTGTGTGTGTGTTTGTGAGAGAGAGGGGGGGGAGTGATAAGAGAGAGAATGATCTCGTAGTTTCTGCCGGCAATCTGTGCTTGAATGTTTAAAGATGCCTTCAATGTGATGCTGGCTTGATAGATGTTTGCAGTTTTGAAATGTTATTTACTGTGTGAACTTGGACAACTAACATTCCATGATGTAGTTTGTTTCTGATGAGATGATTGTAGGCACAGTTCTTCTCTTTATCCAAACATCTGTAGGATACTGAGTTTTTAATGTGCCATTATCTATTTTAATTCTGTACTCATGTTTTAAAAAACAACAACAGTATACTACTTTATGATTAAGTTGTAAAAGTACAAAAAGTGTGTGCTTTCACATCAGAAAACTTTGTATAACAACAAAGTAAACTACACAGTAGCAACATTGGCAGTAAAAAGTAATTCCATTATGTATATAACAAACGTTTAATGCATTTATGGTGGGTTGTGTAACTCATTTGTTCTATGCTCTGTTCTAACCTACAGTGCCATCAGACTAAGAAATGGAACATTCAGATTTACATCATTAAATTGTAATTGGTGGTAATAGCAAAGAGCAGCTCTAATTTATATGATGTACAACCAAACTCAAGTGGACGCTGGATGCAGTCATTAAATTATGTATATATCATTTCAGTGCTTTAAGTCTGAAAATAAGAAATTAAATATTTTGTGTATTAAAAATGTAAGGAAACAGGTTTTTTGTGTAAATTTTTACACAAAACTCTTTGAAGTTTTTGTGTAGTTCGTAAAAAGTGCTCTAAATACGTTTACTGTATTGATTTTTAAAGCAATTTAATTTTGAAAATAAGCTTACAATTTTTTTAAAAAAACAAAACCCCACAAGCAAAGAAAGAGAATTTCCTCCACAAAATGTGAATTCTGCAAGAAGGCTGTGTAGATAATTGCCACAATTCCTCTAATCGTGCTCAGATGGGGATATGCATGCACTCAAAAACCATGTGGTGTAGTTAGATGAGAATCATGTTTGTATGCACAGCTGAGGTATGTACCCCTGGTTCCTGATCCTGCCGGTTGATACACATACAGAAGCCTTCTTCCACACCTATGTCCTCTGGACTGAACTGACTGTTGTCCACTTTGCATAGGATCAACATACACTAATTGGGGTATTTCGCTCCCCTAAATATGAGGGGTCACTCTCTCCCAGGCGTTGTGTGCTCTACTACCTCCCTTCGTTTCTATTCCCTAAGCAGTTTTCTGAAATGAATGGTGTTTGTGCAACAGCTACGCCTGGTGCTGTATAAGGCAGTCCTGTTTTTTAAATTTTATTTAATATAAAAGGGGTGCTTTTTCAAGTAATAAAGCTGTTGCTGTTGTAAAGTAAATATGTGTGAGGAAATATGTAAATTATTTTAACAGAGGGGCTAGTGAAAAAGCTATGTTCTGCAAACAGAGCAGTTGTACAACCATAGAGTCTGTTTTAAAATGTATGTCACACTACTTCTGTACTTTGCATTTGAGTTCCTTGCATTTGATATGTTTCACAAACTGTACAGTTTTCTTCAGTGTGCAGTTTGCATGAGTAAATCATCAGAGAATAAAATCTATCTTTAAATTGTACCTACTACATCGCAGTTATAACTTCTGAAAAGCTAAAATGGTGTCCAACTTTTTGCCTGCTTTGATGGTTCCTATTTTTTTCTACAGAACATGAACAAATTTCCTGCATAGTTAGATTTTAGTCCTCCACCCACCCACCTACCTGGGACTATCATTGAACGTAGTAGGAGTTTTCTTCTGAGTAGACATGCCTAGGAATTTTAGAATAGCAGTTCTTACAGCAACAGTGTTTTGAGAAGCTCAGATAAACCACTATGATGAAATGTTGTTGAGAGGAGTAAAAATGTCATTATCCAAGCAGCGACAAGACTGTATTCTTGAAGGCTTTCATGGCTGGGATCCAATGGTTGTTGTACATTTTTCCGGCTGTTTGGCCATGTTCTGGAGGTTTTTCTTCCTAACATTTTGTCGGTCTCTGTGGCCAGCATCTTCAGAGGACAGGAGTTAGAACTCTATCTGAGTTCTGGAACACAGATAAGAGTTCTGACTCCTGTCCTCTGAAGATGCTGGCCACAGAGACTGGCGAAATGTTAAGAATAAGAACCTCCAGGACACGGCCAAGCAGCCTGAAAAACCTACAACAAGCCAGCTACAAGACTGCTGTTTCTGACTAACATTTATTCTAGTTATTTTGTAAGGTCTAGAATGACCTGTGCCCCACTGGTAACATTTTGAGAGTGAAAGCTCACTTTTTATGTCTATGACCTATTGTCTTCTTGGGGGGAGGGGAGAGAAATGACTGCAGAGGACCTTAACCAGCATTGTCATTCTGTTCATGGAAGCCACTTTCACAAGTGCAAGTGACCAACCTCACCCAACCCTGTGATGTAAAAACATGCTCTGAAAGGTTGAGAAACTCCAGAGCAAGTTTGTGGCACTGGATAAGTTTAGGGAGGAGATCAGAAAATCCGTATGTCATGGTGAGTGTCAAGTCATTGAGGTGTTTTTTATTTTATAAGTGGGCATCGAAGACTATGACATGCAAGTGGCAACAATAAGTCTGTCATTGATGTACATGTGAGGCCTGTGTACCAAAAATTACTTGTAAACTGCTGAAAATATTCTGATGTTATGAATTACTTTTTAAACACTGAAATAGATTTATAAATTATTTGTTTATTCAGACTAATATAAACAGAAGTAAAATGGATGCAGAATGCAGTCCTAAATCCAATGAGTTTCAAACAACCATACAAGTGATCAGAACATCTGATCTTACACATTAACTGGAAGTGAGGGATTTACAACTACAGTACTGTATATACATAAACCTCAAAGTGCTAACTCTTTTATGCTACTCTAAAAGGCAGCTAGCTTGTAGAACAAGTTTCTAACCTATCTTCTTGCACACACTTCTTTTTACAAATGCTGTTTTATATTACAGTGGTGCCCCGTATAGCGAGGTTAATCCATTCCGGATTAACCTTCGCTATATGAAATCTTCGCTAAGCGGGAAGTAAAAAGCCATCGCGGCGCGGGGCCATTTCGGGTCGTCCGCGGCCGTTTTGAAGCCGCAAAACAGCTGTTTTGCGGCTTCAAAAC